AAGAACAGATAAACAATCTAAACAGACCTATAACCCTTAATGAAATAGAAGCAGTCATCAAAAGTCTCCCAAACAAAAAAAGCTCAGGCCCAGATGGTTTCAGTGCAAAATTCTACCAGAAATTCAAAGAAGAGCTAATTCCAATAATCCTCAAAGTGTTCCACACAATAAAAGCAGGAGGCTCACTGCCAAACTCTTTTAACGAGGCTACAATTACCTTGGTACCCAAGCCACACAAAGACACAACTAAGAAAGAGAACTTCAGACCAATATCCCTCATGAACATCAATGCAAAAATTCTCAATAAAATACTAGCAAATCGGATTCAAGAACACATCAGAAAAATCATCCACCATGATCAAGTAGGCTTCATCCCAGGAATGCAGGGATGGTTCAACATTAGAAAATCTATCAATGTAATCCACCATGTATACAAACTGCAAAAAGAAAAACCACATGATCATCTCACTAGATGCTGAAAAAGCCTTTGACAAAATCCAGCACCCCTTCATGATAAAGGTCCTAGAGATATCAGGGATAACAGGAACATACCTGAACATAATAAAAGCAATATACAGTAAACCAACAGCTAACATCAAACTAAATGGAGAGAAACTTAACACAATTCCTCTAAAATCAGGAACAAGACAAGGCTGTCCACTGTCTCCGTATCTCTTCAATATTGTACTTGAAGTTCTAGCTAGAGCAATAAGACAACAAAAGGAAATCAAGGGGATACAAATAGGAAAAGAAGTCAAGCTTTCATTATTTGCAGATGATATGATAGTTTACATAAGTGACCAGAAAAACTTCGCAAGGGAACTCCTACAGCTGATAAACACCTTCAGCAAAGTGGCAGGATACAAGGTTAACTCCCCTGATTCATGTCTATAATCCATAAATGAGTGAGTACATAACCATGTTTCTCTTTTTGTGACTGGGTTACCTCACTCAGGATGGTTTCTTCTTGTTCCATTCATTTGCCTGCAAACTTCAAGATTCAATTTATTTTTTTCCACTGAATAGTACTCCATTGTGTAAATGTACCACATTTTCTCTATCCCCTCTTCAGTTGGGAGGCATCTAGGTTGCTTCCAGTTTCTGGCTATTACAAACAATGCTGCTATAAACATAGTGGAACAGATGTCCTTGTTGAAGGAATGTGCATCTTTTGGGTATATGCCTAGAAGTGGAATTTCTGGGACTCGTGGTAGACTGGTTCCCATTTTTGTGAGTAATCTCCATACTGATTTCCAAAGTGGCTGTACAAGTTGGCACTCCCACCAGCAGTGAAGCAGTGTTCCCTTCTCCACATCCTCTCCAGCATAAACTGTCATTGGAGCTTTTGATTTCAGCCATTCTGACAGGAGTGAGATAGTATCTCAGAGTTGTTTTGATTTGCATTTCACTGATGGATAGGGATGTTGAGCACTTTCTTAAGTGTCTCTCAGCCATTTTAGACTCCTCTATTGAGAATTCTCTATTTAGTTCTGTACCCTACTTTTTGATTGGATCTTTTGGTGTTTTGGAGACTTGCTTTTTGAGTTTGTTGTAAGTTTTGGAGATCAGCCCTCTGTCAGATGTGGGGTTAGTAAATCTTTTTCCAATCTGTGGGTTGCCTTTTTGTCTTGCTGTGTCCTTTGCCTTTCAAAAGCCTCTCAGTTTCAGGAGGTCCCAGTTATTAATTATCAATCTTAGTGTCTGTGCTACTGGAGGTATGTTCAGGAAGCAGTCTCCTGTACCAATTTGTTCATGGGTACTTCTCACTGTCTCATTTAAGAGGTTCAGTGTGGCTGGATTTATGTTGAGGTCTTTGATCCATTTGGATTTAAGTTTTGTGCATGGTGATAGACATGGATCTATCTGCATCCTTCTACATGCCAGCACCATTTGTCGAAGATGCTCTTTTTTCCATTGTATAAATTTAGCTTCTTTTTCAAAGATCAGGTGTTCATACATGTATGGGTTAATGTCAGGGTGTTCAATTCGATTCCATTGGTCTGTGTGTCTATTTTTGTGCCAATACCAACCTGTTTTCAGGACTATAGCTCTGTAATACAGCTTGAAGTCAGAGATGGTGATGCCCCCGGATGTTGTCTTGTTGAACAGGATTGTTTTGGCTATCCTGGGTCTCTTGTTTTTCAATATAAAGTTGAGAATTGTTCTTTCAAGGTCTGTGAATAATTATTCTGGGATTTAGTACTCTGGCCTGGCATCTGTGGTCTCTTAGTGTTGCTAGAAAATCTATGGAGGACCTTCTGGCTTTCAGAACTTCCATGGAGAAACCAGGTGTGATTCTGATAGGTTTGCCTTTATAAGTTTCTTAGCGTCTTCCTTTGCTGCTCTTAATATTCTTTATCCTGTATGTTTGTGGTTTTTACTATTATGTGGCGAGGGGATTTCCTTTTGTGGTCCATTCTATTTGGTGTTCTGTAAGCTTCTTGTACTTTCATTGGCATGTCTTTCTTTAGGTTGGGAAAGTTTTCTTCTATGATTTCTGCCCCTTTGAGGTGGATTTCTTCACCTTCTTCTATACCTATTATTCTTAGGTTTGGTCTTTTCACTGTGCCCCATATTTCCTGAATATTTTGTGTTAGCGATTTGTTGCACTTAAGATTTTCTGTGGTCGATGAATCTATATCCCCTAGTGTATCTTCAACACCTGAGATTCTGTCTTCCATCTCTTGTATTCTGTTCGTTATGCTTGTATTTGTAGTACCTGACTGTTTTCCCAGCTTTTCTATTTCCAGCATTCCTTCAGACTGTTTTTTATTGTTTCTATTTCAGCTTTCTCTTGCACTGTTTGAATTGTTTCTTGTAATTTTTGCTTTGTCTTTTCCTCTCTTTCTTGCATTTGTTTGACTTTTTGATTTGGTTTTCTTCCATTTCTTGTATTTTTTTCATTTGTTTTTTTCTTCCATTTCTTGCCATTTTGCATTTTTAGTTTGTTTTTTAAGGGATTTTCTCATATCCTCTTTGAGGGCCTCTATCATTTTCATGAAGTTGTTTTTAAGGTCTTTCTCATTTGCTTCATCTGCAATGGGCTGTTCTGGTCTTGCAGGTATAGAGTCTCTGGCAGTGTCATATTAGTTTTTCTGTTGGTGGGTGTGTTTTTATATTGTCTCCTTCCCATCATTTCTTCCTGTGGGTGCAGAAGGACCATGGTTCCTTTCCAGTGGGTCGGAGCAGGTCCAGTACCCTGGTGGCTTTCCTCTTGTGTGGATGGAGGCCGGCCTAATATCAGGGCCTTGGCAATCTCTGGGTAAGCTGGACCCTCACCTGTCCTGTGGGTGGAGAATGGGACTTAGAAGTTGGCAGTCTTTGGGCAGGTGGAATCCCATCGGGCTGGGATTCACTGTGCACAGTCCTCAAGTCTCCAGTGGTTCTCCCCTCAACTCTTTTTTATTTCAATTGTGAAAATTAATGCATCTCTGTTACAGTCATACTGGTAGCATATATGTTATCTGTGGTAATTAAGGCTGTTGCTCATTGCTGGACTCATATTTTAGGGAAATCCTAAACATCAAGTTGAGAAATCCCTTCCCCGGTAAAGGTAAATACTGCTATGTAAAGGACTTGGAAACCCACAGCATTCTTTACAACATCTGCAGAGCAGCATCGTGAGGCTCATATGTACCAGTAAGAATGCACTTTCAAGGGCTGATTGTGACTTCCAAGGAACTTGTCCACCACAGCACCCATGGACGGCACCTGAGAATCTTACCATGATTGTCAAATGACTCTGTCCAAACAGAAATCAAATAAAGCAGAAAGAGCTCTCATTGGCAGTACTTGGGATTCTTGCTGACACATAAAGGTAGCCACCTCTCCTCTGGCATGCCATAAATGCACTGATACAGGGGAAGGGATACTGATCACTGATGCTAGGCTGCCTGTCCCACTATTGCCTTTAAAATGAACCAGAGACAATGAAGAAAGCAGGGTGCTACAGGAGGGCCACACTTTATTGTGGGATGTCTGAAGGAGCATAGTTGACCAACAGGGATTGTGCCTTGCACATACATGGTCATGAACACAAAATACTCAACCTGCATACATGAATAGGGACAGACTCTGTACAGCTGTACAGGTGGCCCCTCAAGCCATGCAATGAGCAGGAGCCGAGTGGGTAAGGGGCATCATGTTCAGTGTGGCAATAAACCAGTCCCATTGGTGCTGGCCATGAGCATCTCCAACATGGCCAGTCAGCTTTTAAGTCCACCTCAATTTGGATACTGTCATGTTGACTGTTGGCACCCTCCTCCTACGCTGAGGAGACCATGAGGCTGATCAGCAGGTTCCCAAACCATCCTCCATTGGAGGTGTCTGCTTTGGTAGCTCCAAAAAAAGAGCTTCCAATCCTGTTGAGGTACTCTGTAAATGGAGTCCCTCTGCAGTGAATGCTGGTACTGAACACAGCCACCTTGTCACAGTCCACATCTAGCAGCAGAAACCAGATGAAACTGAGTGGGGATTGAGCCAAAGGTGGCCCATCCTGGATGGATGGATGCTTCTTTGGATACATTGTAAAGACAACCAGTGTACTGTTTTTGCTTTTCAAACAGAGAAACTGTAGTTCAGTCTGGGCTACAAACATTTCACCTCAGGTCAGAAGCCTCGATGGTGGAAAACTTGTCCAGCATATTGTGCAGCCCTTGAAAACAGTGGAGAGCAGAAGTAATACTGAGGCTAACAATATTTTTGCACTTTGCATGGGGTGAGGGCCAGAAGCTGGTGGAGGTGCGGAAGGCCCAGGTGCTCAGGTCCTCTACTAGGCATCTACAGGGCTCTGGACAAAAGGCTACTTGGGAGAGTTTGGTCCATGAAACTGAACACTATGGCCAGATTTTTGGACAGCTCCTCAGCTACAACCACCTTGGCCTTCTACAGAGACTCAGGACCGGAACTGACAGGTCAGCTGCACTCTTCTTCTGGCCATGACTGAAGTAGAGCACTAGTACTGAGTACATGAATCTCAGGGCTATGCTCTGTGCTTGTTTCTGGATATGTATCTGAAGACTATCAGGTAAGTCTGGTGTGCCTCAGAGTAATCACCCTACTGGATGCTCACACCCAGCTTGCCCTGATCCGGTGGAGGCACCTTTGTGGGAGACCTACTGCTCTGTCATTGCCAGCACCAACATTTTGGGTCTCTCCTCTCTTGAAAACTGATATTTTGACAGTGATGTTGGCAACCTCCTTCTCTCCTTCCTTTGGCTCCTATAAGCATTCTACCAGGAATGATTTTTTTAGCAGAAGCTACTATTTATGCCTACTTCCCCCATCTGCCTATTTCAATGTGAGAAACACTGTTTTCCCAGATAACAGCCTCACCCTCCACCTGTAGCTCAGAAGTGTGTAAGTTTTTAGCAGTTTTGAGGGCTCTGAGGATTCCGAGAATGTAATGGAAACGCGACGCCCCAGACGCCTGTCTGAGGCTGAGTAGTAATGCAGGACAAACCGAGGAGGACTCCCCTGCATCATCTGCTGGTACCACTTAATGTTATTATCACCAACACTGAAGCCACTCCACAGGATGCAGGGGATTCTGGCTGTTGCTACAAGAGACATGGAGAAAGAGGATGTTTCTGTCAATACAGCCTGAGAAAAGGAACATGCCAAAGCAGAAATCTCAGTGAACTGTATTTGGAAGATTTCTGTCCCTCCTCCCAGTTCTCACAAAGGCCAAATATGAATTATTATTGTTTGGTCAATGGCTCAGGCTTCTTACTGGCTAATTCTACCTCTAAATTTATATCTTTCTAATGTTCTATATTTTACCATGATGCTTGTTCCTTGTTACCTCACATCTTATCTCTGTTGGCTACATGCCATCTCTGTGACTTTACCTTTCTTCTGTCTTCTACTCTGTTTGGATTTCCTACCTGGTTAAATTCTGCCTGGCCATTGGTCAAATCAATTTAATTTCTCCACCAATAAAGGCAACATATATTCCCTGGATACAGAAGGACATCCCTTTGCCTGAACAGCAGAGTTGAGATACAACTTCTTGGGGAATCTGGACCAGAAGGGCCTGAGAACAGGGTCCTCCCCAGTACCCTTAGGCCTGACCCTACCTGTAGTGTGTCATAGAAATATGAAGATGGAGAAGAACAAGCCATGGGAGATAGGCACAGCTCCTTCTTAGACCAGGGTCTTCTGTCTTTATCTCATCTCCAGGGACCTCACAGTAGAGGCCTAGCCATGCAACTGAGTTCTCCTTAACTCCTCCCAGTGATTGATTCACAGTGTGAGTTCCTGAAACAGCAAGGAGGTGAAGTGAATGACTTTGTCCCATGGAATATAAAAGCAGGTGGTAAGACATCCAGGCTTGTGTGCCAAGACCTCTTTCAGATCCTGATCATCACAAAGAGTGGAGGACTCAGTCATCAGGAGCCATGTCTGTTTCTGCTACCACATGTGAGCACCTGTCCTACGGAGACTCCAGAGAGACCTAGCACACTCCTTTAAGTCACAGAGTAGTCATCACCTTTCACAACTGTTCATCGGACCTAGGATGAATAGACATGTCTTTATACTATAGAGGAGCAGGCACCTGTTCTGGATGCTGTGTGTACAAGGGCTTACAGTAGTGAGGCAGACCTGGATAACAGTCCCAGGAGATGACAAAGCATGGCATAGAAAAGACAGCAAATACCAATACAGAGATTGCAGCTGTTAATCAGAGTGCAAAACCAGGCAATAGGCCAAGATGGCATGTGCAGCTTTCAGGTAAACATGTCAATGTGTTCTAGAGATATTTAACCACAGTTCTGCCCAGTGTCTCTTCTGCCATTAGCCACTCAACTGTGAAAATTAGTTTGGGTTGAACTTGTGCAGAAGGGAGCTCGAAGACCACACATGCATGTAAACCAACAGCAGAGAGCCAGGGAAAGGAAGAAATAGGACAGATGTTGTAGGCACAGCAGTGACACGATGATCCTGGGTTGTGAAAGCAGGTGATGGTGCAGGGTCCAAGATGGGTGGTTGACAGTGACTTCAGAATCAATGCATGTCTCAGGGATGCTTGAGGTTAGTTATATATTAACCACAGCAGATGTGAAAAATATGAGACGATTCAGACTTAGACCTTCACAAAATCATTCTGTTAGTAAGATGCACCAGAGAATGATATTACTAACAGAGAATGATATTCATATATTTAACAGAACAGTACGAACTCCAGAGGATTCCATTTAATGATATGTTCAATGGGAATCATTGGGATGTAGTACGGACTACTTGTAGCCACTGTTATCTGCTTTATGACCACATAGAATCATTGAATGAAAACTAAATGATACTGTGGGCAGAAGCTGCTTCAAAAGCATCAGTGTATACACAAGCTGTTGCAGACTTGAGAATCCTGCACTGCTTCCCTTCTCTCTGTCACTTTGAAAAACACAGCTTGCCGGACTTGAATGTAATATCCAGACTTCCCCCACCGGGTCACAACTCACAAGTGTGCTGGGTGCCTATATTAACTGATACATATTTAGATCCATATAAAAAAGCTGGAGTCTGTTGGAAAAAGTCATGTGGACACAAACAAGAGACCACCACTCCCACTAAAGCATTTCAACGAAGTCAGTTCTTACCAGAAGGGTAGATGCTCACAGAAAAGGCAGAGCAAGCATAACTGCACAGTATGGCTTCCACCTTTGAAACCTGATCCAAGGAGGAACGTTGTTGTTCACATTAGTTGAGGTCCAGCTTCACAGGGCATTCACAGTTGGCTAGCTTGGACAAGAATTTCAAAAGTAAAAGGAAATTATACTCAGCACATTATAATCTAAACAATATAAGAATATGAATGTAAGAGAAAAATTCCAAGTAACATGTAAAGGGAGAAGTATTAGAATAAAATGAGCCACTATGACTGTCAGTAGAACTAGTTGAGCAAGCTGCCATGTAGGCCTTGATCATGGCTACAGGTGCAAGATTTGACCAATCAAGTGTATCTCAGACAAACTGATAAGCAGTCACAAAGGACCATCTACCTCTGCAAAGAAGAGAGGTCAGTATGGATGGTTGGTGTACATCAAGACAAAGATGAGGAAACTCATGTTCTACCACAGGAGATACACAGTGGACATCAGTTTATTACACCTGAATGATCCTACGAGATTAGATCCCAGAAATCAATGTTAGCTGGGGTGCCCTGGTGAGTCAAGAACATTCTTCCTATGGGAAAGTTGGGCAGGAGAAGACTGCCAACAGCTCAAACAGCTAAGGTGTACACCAGTCCCCAGCTGTCATCTACAGCTCTTTGACAATTAGGTTTCCTTCTAATTCTAACCAAAGGTGGCATTGGCCTCAGAGAATTGCCAAGTTAGCTGGCTTTGTCTGGGCAGTGATGTTCCACGGTCCTGTAAAGAATTGCTTATCTATTCATTGTAGAAAGAACTATATTGTCCTTTACTCAAAGTCAAAGAATCCTGCACAGAGACATGGAATTTGTATGTTTGAATAATCCTTGGATGGGGGAATAGCAACTCTGGGGCCTGAAGGAAGAGGGTTGTGAAGACAAAGACACAGATGTCACCAGATCAATCCAAGAGTGGGTCAGGCAGACATAGGAAGAGGCTTCTGAGAAACATGAGGCTTCTGTTCTCTGAAACCACACCCTGATTGAGCATCTCTGGACAAGAGCAGAATTCCCAGGCAGCATTCAAGCTGGATTTCATGAGAAACATAAGATAAGGTCTTCTCATCTATGTACCCATGACCCATGAGCCCCAAGTCTCCTTCAGGAAAATCTGACTCCTATTCCTGCTCGGCTGGGACCCTGTCAGCAGTCCACAGAGTCATCCCTTACTTTTCTGCTGCCATGCTGGAATTTCCTCTGGACAAATGTCCTCCTCATTCAGTCTCATGCCTATTACTCCTCCCTCTCTTACTGCTTTTCTTTGGTGACATTTTCCACTGGCCCTACTCCTCCTCTTCTCCCCTCTTCTTCCTGTGCCTCTTTACCACCTAAGACTTCTTTGAATCTGCTCATTGCTTCTGTTGACAGAAAGGAGAGGGGAAGTTGATGGGGATCCAGAGTCATGAAGGGCACTTACTTTTCTTCTGTGGACTGTGGAGCAGGATGGATTCCTCTTCATGTCCGGTGAATAATGGGCTATTTTCACTGCCCAGCCACTAGTGCTGCAGACCAATGAAATCAAGCCTCCCTCTCTGCATGGGAGGATGTTGACATAGCTTGTTCTCAGGTTGCTGGAGGTGTATGGCATGAAGAAGAGGTTTGGGGCACACCTCCTTTCTGTTCTGGCCTGGTTCCCTCCAGTGTCTCTTACGCCCCACCAGGCCGAACACAGACCTGTGGTTTAGGGACCACGGATCTCGGCCTCATCTTCGACCCTTGAAAAGACACAAACAAAGGACTGTTTCACTCACTTGGATAGAGAAGGAATTAGAAAGGGTGGCCCTGTGCTGCCACAGCTCTCTCCGCCAGATTCCTCCCTTCCTAACTGTGCTCCCTTTCACAAAGCCCTGCTTCCTCCCATCTCCCTGCATCCTTCTGCCTGGAAACAACCTCTGCTGTCTGCTTCTGGCTCAACTTCCCCAGACTCCTCATGAGCAGATTCAGTGGGAAACTATTTCTAGGTTAAGAGACACCCTATGATTCATGTCCTGTAAATGTGTACAGCCTATCAGTGCCAAAGAGCCTTTGAAAACGAAACATCAAATACCCATGTGAATTTTGTGGCCTTGTTGCACCATTTCTGTGAACCCCTTTCCTATTCCTTCCCCTCCATACCTGGATGTTGTGCTATTTGTACTCGGGGTGACGAAGCAGCAGCATAAGCTTCGAAACAGTGTTCCTACGCTGCCTCCTCACCCCTTTCCAGCTCCTTCTGCTTTGCCTGTTGGAGGCTATGGGTGCCTCCTGGAGCTCCTCATTTGGAGATGGAGATGGCAATGCCATACTCATTATGTCATTGACTATTTCACATCGGATGTTCCCATGCTGTGAGTGGGACACAGCACATGTGAGATCCCTTGTCATTTGGCTGATAAGGTCACTCAAATCTGCACTTGCTTCATTCTTCATAATGGTGGCATCATCATGTGGTTCATGGTTCATTTCACATTTGCGGTCTGCTAGCACGCCCAGTAAATCCAGCGTTGTAGTACTAAAAGTGATGGTCTCTTCTATCTCAGCCTCAGGTGTTTCCCCAAATGAGACAGCATTTTCTGTCTCCTCAGACACTCTTACTGTCTTCAGACAATCACTCTGTGGGGCAGAATTCACAGGAGAGTTAATGTCTGATGTATAAATCAGGTGAGATGGATTTAGGGAAACACTAGCTACTTTTTTCGTTTACCTCCTGGCCTTTGTTGCTTGGCCTTTGTGGCGAGGTTGTGAAAAACGTGGGCAGAGCCAGCTCACTCCATCTCCTCTTCAATGGAAATCGAGGGAGTGTGAGACGATGTGCAGGCCTCTTGGTGGAACGGCTCTTTCGATGGTTTTCTTTTAGGCCAATCCTATAATTGCTTTTTCTCTCATAAAGCATGTCATTTTGGGCAAGGCCTTCATAAAATGTCTTTGTTCCAGGTGTTTCACAGTTGTTCTCCTCCAGGTCGCTGAGGGAACACACAGTTTTGACCAGAGTTGTGATCGACCACATCAAATGTAGGGATCTGGATACTGCTTGTACATTGGCATCACTGAGATCCCTCCATGATATTTCCTCTGCCATGTCCTCCACCTTTTCAGGTGGAGAATAGCACCACCACCAAATGCTAGAAGTAGAAAAACAAAATCATCTCTATGATACAAGGTCCTGGCTATCAATTTTTAGATGGTGATAATCAAAGGTCTTTCAAGAATACTAATTATTCATCTTGAAGTCAAAGATTAAATAAATTTCCAAACGCCAAAGGACATATGAGAAAGTGTAAGAAAGTTCAGGGAGGAAGTAACTGTACAGTTGAGCTTGAAACAAAGGTCAGAGAAAGAAGATCCTGTCCTTTGAAGGACAAACCAATCTGAGAAGCCCTTGACATGAATCACCCACAGAAAGACACAAATTATTGAAATGTGAGAAAGGAAAGAGATGTGTACATCCATGGGAATCCTCAAGGTGCCTGTCAACCTTGTACTTCAGAGATTGACAATCCTCAAAGACAGATACTGCTCAATTCACAACCAGAAGCCACCAGTAATACATCAGGATATCAAACATGCACCCCCTTTTTTAACCACTGCTGCACCCTGAAAATGATGGTAAATTCTTAAGTTGAAAGAGTAATACAGTCTCTCCCAACACTGAAAGCCCAGGACCGATAGATTGCATAAAGGGTCTTACATGCAGGCTCTATGGGACAATGGAGGTCAATGATTCTCATGCTACTTCACGAAGCAGACAAGGAGAGATCATTCCAAACATTGTAAAAAGCCAAACTACACTGATGCCAAACCATAAGCGTGCAGTCCACACTCATACACACACACACACACACACATATATACGCACAAATGAATAACTTAATGTCCTTGATGAACATCACGTGAAATGAGATTCCTTGTTCAAGATTGGTCAACAATACATGACAGAGATACTTCATGCCCACAGTGAGTTA